CAACATCTGCTCAAGCACCATTCACCTTCATTTCAGACTCAAATATGCACCATATCAGCATTCAGTAGTGTGAATAATCTAATTTATGCAGCCAAACTACCTCGTTAAACAGACATGCTCTCAGTTCAGGACACCAGTGAACTCTTGAGCATACCAGCCCTGCCACCTGCACAATAATGAACTAGTAATGAGTTGCTACGAAGGCGGATTCTGGGTTTTGGGGCTTTATAGGTGAAAAAATTATTGTATTTTTCTCCGTTCACTAATCTTTGCTCTCTTTTGTAAATGCACAACAAAAATTTGTTTTTTTAAAAAATAGCTATATATAAGCTATTTTTAAAAAGACAAGAGGCACTTCTTTAGTAGCATTATTTACTTTAATTTACTTATTTACAACAGTACTCAGTGAACTCTGTGATAACAGCCAGTGACGGGGGAGGGTCACAGTTCTTGATATTTGCTTGTGTGTGTGTGTGTGTGCGCACTTGCAGATCCTTTGGTCTGTTCCCTATTCACACACGGGTGTGATTGAGGCTCTAACTCTGGGGGTAAAGCTGTTTACTTAATAAGATCACACACTAATTGTTGGTGTAAACAGTGAGTAGCAAGGGTGTGTGGTGTCTTTGATAAATGCTGCTAGTCTTCTTACTCTGTTAACTAACACAGATGATGATCAGGTTTGGAAGCTCTGTTCTGACAATTTACAGCCTTTACTGCACTGTGCACCCACGCATTTGGTTTGGTTATAACGTTTCATATGGCGATTCTGTATTTAGCATTAGTTTCCTTGGGAGCCAGGCCTATTTTAATTTATGGATAAAGGCTATGGTTTGATCTGAAGTGTTGGAGGGCTGCATCAGTAGGTTTGACACACAAGCCACTTTTAATTATGGAATAAGCCCACAAGTATTACCGGATTCATGAATCTGTTTGATTCTGTCATTCCTAGATTCATGACAATAGGTGAGACTGCAGTGTTTGCCATTGGACAGTATGTTATAATCTTATGTGTGTCGATCCTTTTATGTGACTGCACGCAGTTAAGATCTGTGCCTTGTTAAAAGTGAGGTTACTACTTCAGAGGAAAAAAACATAATAAATCTCCTCTTAGACAAGCACTCCCATCCATTAATCAGATGACATTTGAACTTCTCAACGTAATGTCTGACTAACTCGGTCAGTTTCCTTCATAAGTCATGATTGCAATATTACTCACATCTATGAATATTTACATAAAAATTTCAGCACATTAAATGAGAAGTTGTATTAAAGCACTGATGCATGGGACACGATTACAACTTTGTTTGTCTCTCATGAAAGCTGGAAAGCTCACTTAAAACGAGTGCATTGGATTTGTTTCAGATTTGCAATTAATACATTAGCTCCCATCCCTCTCACTGAGCCTGTTTGCAGGGGTGAGAGCAGCTTCAGAGCATGATGTTTAAAAATTGTGGATACATATAACTAGGTTCAGTGTTTGTTTTCTTTTTGACTTCCATAAAGAAAACTGGGAACTGTGTAAAACCACGCTAAAATCTAATAATCATCTTAAAATAAAGGAGTCAATCTGTGGTTAGTTGGTAGGAAATGCACATAAAATGAAATCAGCCTACTTGCTAACAATCCTGAAAAACTGTTAGCAAGTCAAACAGCTGCCGATTAAAAGACAGGGAAAGAGTTCAATAATAAGCTAAAACTAGTCATGGGATTTATCATCAAAAGCATTTTTGCTTTGATATTTGACCGTTTTTACCTATTGCTATATGTGCTCCAGCCAGAAAGCAGTTATATAATACTTATTGAGTGTAAAAAATCAATGAAAAGTTACCACATTCTTTATTGATTTTCCCAACAATGCTTGGCTGGTTACTTAATAGTTCTAGCCAAGTCTGTGCATGTGGGTGTAGTTTAACCTTCAAGTGTCCGATTGCTTTTGTGACATTTTTAAGTTTCCTACTATGAATTTGGAGAATGCAAAGTTTCATACTTCATGAACCATCCATCCATCCATCCTCATCCGCTTTATCCGAGGCCGGGTCGCGGGGGCAGCAGCCTAAGCAAAGAGGCCCAGACCTCCCTCTCCCCAGCCACCTCCTCCAGCTTATCCGGGGGAACACCAAGGCGTTCCCAGGCCAGCCGAGAGATATAATCTCTCCAGCGTGTCCTGGGTCTGCCCCGGACAATTCATGAACCATGGAATTCAAATGCACAGTTTTCTTATGACCCCAGAAATGTATTTTTATTTGTTTTGACATTATTTTAAAATGCTGCACAGTTTTGCAATGAAACATGGATTATAGAACAGGATTCAGAGAATTCCTGAAGTGTATGCAGTTGCAGACGGGCCATGGTTACAAGATGTGCTTTCATATATATTTTAACAATGTTTGTTGCAGCTTGTTGCATTAAAAACTGCTGTTCCTAGGACTGCACTCTTCTGGACAGAAATCTCGAATGTTGTTCCTAGCAACTGCCAGAGCCACTTGCCTAGCTTGGGGGTCACTGCACCGACTGCTCCGATTACCACTGGGACCACTGTTGCCTTCACCCTCCAAATCTTCTCGACTTCTTCAGCCCTTGGTATTCCTGCAGCTTCTTGGGTTCCTATCGCTCAGTATCACTACAGACATCTTCCTCTGCTTTTCTAGTTGGTTAGCCATCACCAGTTTGTCTATCTGTATTTGGAAGTCTCACAGGATCTTAGCTCAGCATTCTTGACCACCTTAGGTGGCATGTCCCATTTTGATCTCTGAACTTTCAGGACATACTTGGCACAGATGTCTCTGTGTACTACGCTGGCCACTTGGTTATGACGTTCCATGTATGCCCTGCCTGTTAGCATCTTGCACCCTGCTGTTATGTGCTGGATTGTCTCAGGGGCATCTTTACACAGCCTTCACCTGGGGTCTTGCTTGGTGTGATAGACCCCAGCCTCTATAGATCTTGTGCTCAGAGCTTGTTCCTGTGCTGCCATGATTAGTGCCTGTGTGCTGTCTTTCAGTCCAGTGTTGTCCAGCCACTGATAGGATTTCTGGACGTCAGCCATTCCTCTATCTGCTGGTGCTACATAGCGTGACTGTCATTCCATGATGATTCCTCCTCTTGTGCCTCTTCTTTCTCAGGTTTCTGCTGCAATGCTGGGTGTCTGTTGTCTCGTCCCGGACAGTTCTTGGAGGATAAAGAAACTGATACTGCTGACAGGCCCCCTGGCTCTTAAAAACAAATTACAATTTTTGAGTTCATATAAAGAAATTTTGGTAAAATGGATGAGCCTGCCGCATCAATTTCTCACTTTGATTTTCAGTGTCTTTGAATTCATCCTTATGTAGCTTGATGTGGCATCCTTTTGTTCCCTTTTGTTTTGTTTGTTGTTTTATTTTTTTCCTCAAAAGCATTAAAAAGGGCAACATTCGACTGATCAGGTAATTCTTAAAGCGAAAAAACCACCTATAGTTCTGTAAACTTCATGAAGACTTTTCATCTCTCATCCAAGATGCTTTGTCAGAACTGTAAAGCCTGTTTTGTCTTCAAATCCTAATTTTACATTAATTTAGCTGTAAGTTAAATATTGCCCTAAAAGCCCCTTTACAACAAATTTATTGATGGCTTCTCTTTTAATCCCTAATCATACATTAAATAAAACTTAAATGAAAACATCTGCTTTTCTACACATTTTGAGCCATCCTGAATTTTCTTTTTTGCTGCTAAATATCAAATTATCTAACAAATATTAACACTGAATCAAATGTGCATTGACTTCTTTTGATTGTCCTTAATTTCTATTTTATTTTTAATGTATTTTTTTGTAATGCTAAAAATAGTATTTAATTTATTTTGTGAACTTTGTATTTTTTCCCTTATACTTAGAAGCATATTTGCTCATTAGGAGTTTTAATTGGCTTCTAGAGTATCAAAGTCAAACCAAGACAGATTTTGCTGAATAGAGAATTTCAGCTTCTTTTAATAAGCTGTTTCAAGGACTTTAACTTTGATGCACTGCTTTTATTAATTTCTCTCTAATGCATGCTCAATCGTCCAGGTAAGGAAATCCCAAAAAGCTGATTCTGTTCATCTGGAGGTAGCATTTTCACTGGGGGAAACATTTCGTCACTCATCCAAGTGACTTCTTCAATCTCAGCTGACTGCAGGCTCCCCCAACCTTTTAAACAGTACATTTGCACAATGACTACAAACTAGCACCACTGGCCAACAGTGGGCTGTGAGGTCATTTTCTTAATCATTGATCAATGAACATGAATAACATTCGATTTTTTGGGTTCTCACTCATAGGTCGTCCCCAGTCACATACAGTTCAATCTTAAGCCTTCAAACTGTGATCTTTCTCAAGGTAATAAAAAGTGGAAAAGGTTTAAGCTTTTAACTCAGCAAAAGTAAAACATATAAAGCTAGATATAGGTTTGATTTTATGAAATAAAGTTTACACAGACAGTTATAATTCATTGTTGATGGCAGCTCTCAGAATTGTCTCTCAGACTCTCACAGATTTGACTGCCAGACTTCAAAACAGTGCCGTTTCAGATCAAATATGCTTATCTGTTTTCCAGTGATTCCCATCTGTTGCCAGTTTGTAAAATGTCGTAATTTACACATGTGTACATACATAGCTGCTTCTTTATCAGACAGCACTGACGAGGGATGAGATTTATTAGCTGGTACTGAGATATCAGATGCGTGGTGTGAAAAGTCACAAAACATAAAATATTGTGCCGACGGAGGTAATAACACAGGTAGTTGTTATAAACAGATTACATGACGGTGTTTATAAAGGAAAAAGCGGATCCAACATGCTTGAACTCACAACTGGTTGTCGAATGCCTTCATTTTATCACTTTATAATGGCAAAAAAGTGTAGTTCAGACTCTCCCACCTGCTACTGTCCCCCGCCCATTGTTTGTATTGTGTTTACAAGTCTCCTCCCTAATTTTTGAAAATATCTATAAAAGTCTTTCCATTTCACTGTTTCTTGGTCGGCTCACCTTTTCCAGCTCTAGTGTCTCAACATCATCAACCACAGAAGAAAATCATAAATCGAAAGGCATCTTCACATCATCTTGAAAAATGAGAGTCCTCTTTGCTCTTTTTTTGGTGGGATGTGTGTGCGGTGTACCTCAAGGACTATGGGTCAGAGTAAGTATCATTTGTTTTTGGAAGTATTATAGATCCAAGGCTCATTTTTAAAGTCTCTTTGGTGTTTTTTGTATATTTCGATGCATTTCTGGCACAGTAGCTTATGGTTGATATATTCAGGCTATCTTCTTACATAAAACATTAACTTCAAGGAAATCACTCAACCCACTTATGTTCAGTGTGTCCTTCAAAAGTACACATGACATGACTGTCCTGTCCTTTCCTCTGATTAATCTCTGCGAATACAATGAAAATTTCGGCTTTTTGACACGACATTAACAAAACTTTTACTGGCCCAGATGGAAACTTCTTGTCCCTCTCCCCACAGGTTGGAGACAAAAGCTTCCCACTGGAGGCTGTGAAGCAGCTCAAGAAAATCATGGAATTAGATGAAAATCTTGGTTCTCACTCTGACGCACACACTTTCAAGACTGTGTGTGCCAACCCTCTCGTGCCGCAGGTGTTTCGACCAGTGTGCCAAAAGGATGAAGAAGTAGCCGTTTTCTCAAGTCTAAGTAAGAAGAGCCCAAAGGGAGATCAGATTATTTTGGTCACAAACACATTACGGTATTACAGTGTGTTCCTGTCACATCGTTATTTCTCCACAGCTTACTGCAAAGGGTATTGCATGCATAAGAAATTATGCAAGTAGCTCATTGGGCACACTCTGAGCAACCAGTGTTAATGACTTAAAGCAAGATCCCAAACCAAAAACAAACAGTGTGTTATGTGTTATTATGCAACAGCAGTCTTGTGTAATATATTATCTTCTTGCAATCATTTTTTAAGGACAAAAGCAATAACAGTGTTTTAGTCTGTAAATCAGTTTGTTTACCAACTCTCTATTCAATCTATAATAGCTGGTCCCAAGCTCAATTAAGCATAATAAGTTTCAGTCCAAAAATGGACAAATTCCAGTTGTCATAGATGCCATATGTTGCCATTAATTTTACAGAATGTGTAAGAAAAATTTCCTGAAACAGACAAGATGCTTCCTTCAAACCTTTTTGCAAATGTAACATTTGTTTGCTATTAGACTCAGAGGGTTAATACACCTTTACTACTATTATTGTGGGAATGGTAGATGGTATTTGTTGCATGCATTGTTACATGAGAATGTCACTGGCATTTTAACTAGAGAAGCCAATTAGTTTCCCACACACTCGAAGCAGTGGCAAATTCACTATCTAATATATCAAAATATGTCTCGGAGCACCTCTAAAGCTCATATGTCAATCTGCATGTGAAATGTTGCGTGACAGTTTGTTGGTTAGTTGTTTCCCCCTGTTTTTAGGCTTTGTTGTATGCTGGTTTTGCAGGATGTTTTATGTGTTCCCACACATTAGCCTTCCCCTTGTATATGAATGACTTGCTCAACCACCTGAACTAAAGTTGCTGAGCCAGTCTCAGTATCCCTTTGCCAAATTTAAACAGAAAACAATTACGCACAGGCTCTTCCATCTAATCTTTAGTTTTATTACTCAGACAAACACTCTGTAGGACTCAAGATTAAAGACACAGACAACAAGCATAAAGTTTAGTTGAGTTGCTCAAATGGATTCATAGAATCCAATGTTTACACATTGTAATAGACACATCCAGCAAGTGCTGCACCACAAAATGCCTGGAAGGATAACACCAGGCTTTGCAGAAAAGTCATCAGAAAAGACACTTGTTGCTGTAATAACATCCAATTATCACTATTAGGAGTAATTTTTCAAAATGGAAAGCAGACCATTGGGTAAAATAAGGAATGTTTTTTCTAATTGGGATTATTAAAATAATCGCTGAAGTTGTTGTTATGTTTTTTCTTGCACTGTCTAGTGGTTATAAATATGAATGAGTGTGAGATATGTGCCAACCCCGCCTGCGCTGGATGTGGATATTGAGGCTGCCGTCAGCTAGACACACACCTCCCCTGAGAGTCTCTAAGGTGTCATCATCCATTGTTCTTCTACATCTGGGAGTCATGGAGTCTCAGCAAGAAGTTTTCAAGTATTCAGAACTGTTAACTGTTAATTAATGTAAGGGGAAGAGGGGTTGTGTTATATATAAATTCATTGCAAAGCAAAACTGTTGATAAAAATGATATTTAACGGAAATCTGGTGGAATGTGTAACTGCAGAACTTAAGCTGGAGAAGTAAAACAATGCTAAGCTGTATATACAGATCCCCTGGAGCTTGTGTGCAAGTTTTTATAGACAAAATTATAGGTTTATATGACATTATATGCAATAATAAGATGCTCTTTTTCTCTGGAGATTCGATGATGATTTACTCAATCATTAAGGACACACACAAGCTGAAGAATTTAATAACATAATGTTTTGCATAAGTTTGTTTCCTACAATTTCACATCCAACTAGGATAGAAGTAAACGATGCTGTCATAGATAATATATTCTCATATGATGCAGTTGAGAAAATTCTCAGGGGTATAACCATGAATGATATAAATGATCATCTGCCATTTTTTTAGATGTAGAAAATAGAAATATCATTGAGAAAGACGTCAGAACTAGCAGGATAACAAGATGTATTAAACATAGTTAAAGCTGATATGATTAAACAAGCCTGGAGCAGCTTGTTCAGAAGATGCAAATGAGGTATAGAAAACTTGGGGGAAATAATAACTGACTCATACAATAAAAACTGCAGAAAGAAAAATTAATCGTCTAAAGAATTCTTTAAAATTAGAACAAAAGAGTCTAAAAATGAATATGAAAAGTATAAAAATAAATTAACATGGATATTAAGATCATCATAAGCAAAAGAACACATAATAGTTTACTACAAATACAGGTAAGGCATACAGAACACCTGGAGAGTTTGAAATATTCTGATATTCTGATTTCATTGCAAATACTGGAACGCGGCAATCAAAGAGTTCTTTGTAAATCTAGGAACAAAACTAGCTGTGGCAATTAAAACACCCAACAATAATCAAAGAGAAACAGGTTAGCTGGATATAGAGAGCCATAATCTATATTTCAGAGGAACGGACGAAACAAAAATAATACTGTAACAGCAGGACAGTGTGCACTGAACTCCGCACCACACATGGCACAGGGGCTCCGTTACACCAAAGACACTCACACTGTAACACTAGGCAGGAACCCAAGTGACCTTACAAAGAATAAAAATAAATTAATATGTCTGGACTTAAGCATTTGACACCACTGACAAATTATTGGAAAGGTTAGAAATATAAATGAGTAAGACAGACTGCACACTCATAGTTCCATATTTGACCCATTGGGCAGAAGTATTGGGAAATGCATATAGAATGATCACCAACTTAATATTTTTATTACGAGATAAAGAACTAAAAATAGTATTGACAGCAAATTATTATCATTTCACTACCCCACTGTTCATTTGGATGAATACATTAAAATTTGTGTTTTTTATTATTAAGAGATTTTACAGTTATTTCGATTATGTAAAAAGTAAAAAACAATTACCTCCAGGCATCCAAGATTTGTTCCGGTTGAGAAGAACCAATTATTTTTATGTTAATGTAATTATGACATACTGTTTTTTGATGGGGGCTTTTGGTCACATTGTCCATTTTTGGTTGGCTAAATATTATATTATATATGAGGGGTAAGTGCAATATTGAAGCTTTTGCTTCTGTGTACACTATATTGTATAAGTATTCTCTCGGCATTCATTCCAAAGGTGTTCTCTCTGGTTGAGGACAGGACTCTGCACAGGCCAGTCAAGTTCTTCCACGCCTAACTTGCTCATCCATGTCCATACGGAGCTTGTTTGTGTTTTTTTTGTTTTGTTTTGTAGTAATGTCAGAAGTGGGGCTGTCCCCAAATTGTTCTTACAGAGTCCGAAATGTTTTTGTATGCTTTGGTATGCTACGTAGAGTTCCTTACTCCTAAAAAACAAGTCTTCACTGTTGTAGAGTCCAGTGGTAGCGTTCTTGAGCTAATCTAAAGGCTGCGTGAAGTTTGGAGGTCAGTATTGATTGACTCTGCAGAAAGCTTGTGGCCTTTACACACTATGCAATTCACCATCTGCTGACCCCACTTTGTGATTTTACATGACACATACTACATCATGGCTGAGTTGTAGTCTTTCCCAGTTGCTTCCATTTTTTTGTAATGCCACTAACAGTTTACTGTGGAATGCTTAGTAGCAAGGAAATTTCACAAGGTGACATCCTGTCATGGTACCACGTTGGATTTCATGGAGCTCTGAGAGTGACCCATTCTTTCACAAATGTTCATAGAAGCAGTCTGCATGCTTAGGTTCTTGATTTTATACACCTGTGGCTATGAAAGTGATTGGGACTTTAATAATTTAGGATGGGTGAGTAAAAACTTTTGGTAATATAGTGTATTTCTTTCTTTTTTCCTTTTTTTTTGTTTTGCTATGACAGACAGAAACAAAATGGACAAACATTTCTATGTACAAGCATCCACGGACACATCAAACCACAACTTCACTTAATCCCAGCTGGTCTTAGTGGTCAAAGTACTTGATTTTGGATTAAAGTGACAAAAATCGGATTTACCATTTTTTATGCTTTGGTAGATACAATCCTTTGTTACTAAGGCCACAAATCTGTTAAACTTTTAAAACTCCTTAAGGCAATTTTATAATAATCAAATCCTTTGGCTTGATGAAAGAATGTTTTTAACTGAATATATATATTTACTGACACAAACCTGCATGCACACAAAAGAAGAATGATGCTTCAAAGCCACTGATCTGGGATAAAAGTAAAGGGTATTAAGCAAGTATAATGTGTCTAAAGTCTAAAGTGAGTGAGCTGAAGGGGTCATATTCAAAAATGTTTTATTTGTTAGACAAATCATTTGGCTTCAACTAAACTCGTCCACTTAACCAAACTGGTAACACCCTTTTAATGTAATTCTCCAAATACACAATCTGTTTGCTTTTGTTTGTTGCCCGCGACTGATTTTGCCAGGATCTACCATGTGTCTGATATGACACGATGAAAATGTATCCAACAGACTAGCCAGTAGTGCAGCTAATTTATGTAACAGCAGCAGGGAATGTGCATCACTGCACTTCAGACATCAATATGCACGACCTGATTCGTGAAATGCTCTCCGGCCCCTGTGTTTTGCAGCCATCACAGCTGTCACACACACACTCTCATCAGTCATTAGAGAAACACCCATTTTTAATCATTTAAAGCTGCTCTGTTGTCTGGACAGGTTTTTAGTTGAATCCACTGATCTTTAAAACCTCCAATAATTAGTTTAATGGATCACTTTAATGGGCTGCTTTGATGACGGTGACCAGCCTTAACAGTTACTGCATGTCTGTGTGGTTGCACTGATGTTTCAGTGGAAATAAAGTTGAAACCTACAATATTACATGCCATTTACAAATGAACGGTGACAAATATTGCAGTCCATAATGTATTTCAAGTCTGTTATTGTAGTATCACATTGCAGTATGTGCTGGGTTGAGTAGATACAAACAGACTGATACATACATATGTCAAACTTCTGGTAAGTCCTTATCCTCTATTATTCCTTCCAATTTTTGCAATGTGCAGGTGTACCACTACCAATGGCAGCAAAACGGTTATTGTGGCCAGATGGTTCAATCTTTTTATGTATTAACACATTCAGATAACTTGCACTTACGGACAATTGAATTCACTGAGTTCCTTAGATTTTCCCAGTGTTCTGAATATTGATGAAACCAGTGAGTCATGTCAAACAAATCGTTTTTATGCTGGCAAAGGAAAACTACCAGTTGAGATCAATAACTAGTGACTGGGCTCGCTGCACAGGTGACATCCTGTCACGGCACCGCGTTGGAATTCAGGCCTTGGCCATGTCAGGTTGAAAGATATTGTAGAGCCATGAGCACCACTTATCAAAAGATTTAAGTGAAAAGTATATACATTTGAGCCTATATGTATCCTTTTGGCTGTGTGTATTTGGAAACAATGCAAAATAAATTCAAATCCAATTATTGTTTTTAAAAGTAAAATAATATGTATGCAGCACAATCTTTCAGCACGCTCAGAAAAGAGCAATTCAAAGAAATCATTAAAATTACCATGACATTCATGTTCATGATGAGGATATATAAACTTGCTGCAGATGCAGAATTGATATGAAATCTGGGAAAATTATATGAAATTATAATTAGAGGAAGTTAAGAGCATATCCTGGCTAATAACAAGAAAATGAAAGATCATCACAAAAATCGTTAATTTAAATATGTATTATTTTAAAAGAGAAACAATGACAGACCCTCACTTGTTAAGGAAGTCTCACCTGTTCAACGGGATCTAAGCGAAAAAGGAAATAAAAAGGAGCGAATGCTCTTGTCTCGTTCGGCTCTTCTGCTCCTTCTTCTTTTTGACGACATTTGGCGCCCTCTCGCGGTGTTTCACTAACATTACAACGAGCGGTTTGTGATCAAATAACTGACTTAAACAATAAACCAACGCGAATCCGACGAATAAGTGTCATTGAACGTTAAAACACGAATTATTCATAAGGCTAAAGAGAAAGCTGGTGTTCATCTCACCCTATAGCTCCGTATTTATGTATTTAAGGAGAAAAACAAATCATTTAACTTTGAAAACAGCCGCCAGTGAACGAAACCTTGGAAGTGTCGTAGAAACGGGCTGATTTTTCACATAGAAATATATTCTGTATCAGGCAGGATTGCGTTATTTTTTTTTTAAAAAAAAGACGCGTTTCTGTTCGGTTGTTTTACACATCCGCAAGAATTCGGTGTACGTCAGCTGTACTCTGGCAACGTTGACCAGCTGTTAAACCCTCGTGTTTCATTTGGTGTCCGTTTGCATTGATATCACGTGGCTCGTTGGTCTAGGGGTATGATTCTCGCTTAGGGTGCGAGAGGTCCCGGGTTCAAATCCCGGACGAGCCCTCGTCTTTTTGTGTTCGTCTTCCATAGGCTTTAATGTCTAAGTACCTCAGGTTTTTCTAAGCGCGTTTTGTCACACTTCCACTATAGATTAAAGTAGCCCTCTGCTCTTCTAAAAAAAAAATGCTACACAAGTTTGCTCAAAAGATAACCCTCTAATATTGCCTACTGTCAGGAGAGGGAAGCCCATGGGTGGGCTGGTTGGGTTGATAGGGTGCAGCAGAGCAGGGGAAATATTCATTTATAAATAAGTTGCTCTGCACATGCTGTTTGTGGATTTAGACAACTAAATTCAACAATATGTAAACAGGTGTTTCGCACATTTGGATTAATTAGGACATAAGAAGTAAGCAAAATTACCTGCCACATGAAAAATGTTACTCCTTTTGTGCTCACTCCTCTACAACAGCACTAGATAGATGTTGAATTACCAGTTATGCCACTTTGACATCTATAAATGCATGACAGGGAAGAGAAGGAAAACTGAGATGTGTTGAGGCTGTATGTGAACTATATCTCCATATTGTCTGCTGGAAGTAACACCAGGCTAAAGCAAATGAAGAATTAACTTTTTCAGCAGTGTTAACCTGCCTATTAAAGGTGATTACTCATTTACTAAGGTTACCAGAGCCCTAACATTTATCAAATGAAAAAGCTAAAACTTTGATTTTACCTTTAATGAGTCATGTATAACCCAGCTATTCATTGGTTTGTGCAGTTTGTGTGCACTTATCTGTCTACATTTTAAAAACAAGGTAAAAGTAGACAAGCCTATAAAAAGGTT